ATATGAGAACACCAATAGACACCTAGACAAGAGTTCTGAATAAGCCATCTTCAAAGACAGGAAAACAATTGCTTATAGGCATGTCTAAAGGCAACCTGAGGGACGCAGCACTGTGGCATAGTGGGTAAGGCCGCTGCCTGCAGTGCCTGCATCTTATATGGGTGCCAGTTCAAGACCCAGCTTCTCAACTTCCAATCCAGCTCTCTGCTATGGCCTGGGAAAGCAGGGGAGGATGGCTGAAGTTCTTGAGCCCCTGCATCTGCCTGGGACGACCCAGAGGAAGCTCCTGGCTTCAGATTGGCACACGTCTGGCCAATGCAGCCACTGAGGAGTGAACCAACCAATGGAAAACCTCTCTCTCTCTCTGCCTCTCCTTCCCTCTCTAGGTAACTCAGGTAACTCTGACTTTCAAATAAATAAATCTTAAAAAAAAAAAAAAAGCCATCTGGGACAGGTGCTGGTATAGCTGTTAAAACACCAGGGGGGATGACTGGGTCCCACCATCACAGTACCTGGGTTTGGTACCTGGCTTCGATACCCATCAATTTCTGCTTCCTTATATCTCCCTCCTTTTCCCCCCTCCCTTTTTCTGTCTCTCTGCCTCTCAAATTAAAAACAATGTTATCAGCCTAAGGTGAGCATTTAGCCTAGCAGTTATGACATGGGTTAGGATGTCCTCACCCCACACTGGAGTGCCTGGGTTTAATTCCTGTCTCCTGATCCCAATTTCTGACTACTGAAGAACCTGGGAGGCAGCAGTAATGGGTTCCTACTACCCACATAGGAGACCTGGATTGAGGCACGCTCTCTCTCTGCCCCTAAAATAAATAAATAAATTTTAAAAAGTAATCAACCTTATTAGTGACTAAAGGAAACAGGGTGTTAGTATTTATTTATTTGAAAGGCAGAGAGAGAGAGAGAGAGAGAGAGAGAGAGAGAAGGAGGGAGGGAAGGAGAGAGATGGAGAGAGATATCCATTTCCTGGTTTATTTCCCAAATGGCTACAACAGCCAGGGTTGGCCCAGGCAGAAGCCAGGAGCCGGGAACTCCATCCTAGTCTCCCACTTGGGTGGCAGGGGTCCGGGTAGTTGGGCCATCATCTGCTGCCTCCCCAGGCACATTAGCAAGAAGCTGGATCAGAAACAGAGCAGCAGGAAGTAAACCAGCACTTTGATCAATACTGATGTCACAAGCAACAGCTAACATGCTGTGCACAAAGCTGGCCCCCAAAGAAGCACAATTTTGAAACATAATTTTCACGTATAATGTTAGCAAATATTCTTAAAAGGATGATATTATTTTGGCAAAAATTTGATGTTTAAGCATAAAGCTCAAAACACATTCACATCCAAAAGCTAGGCACCAGATGTCAATCAGTTAAAATATGAAAATACTCGAAAGACCATAAAGGCCCAAAAAGAAAAAAATGGCTAAATAAATTAAGATACCTGTAAGATGAATTATTTTGAATTCACTTAATTATATTAAAAATATCATTTGGGGTGGGCATTTGGCACAGTAGTAAAGTCGCTGCTTGGAGTGCCTGCATCCTACATTTGAGTGCCTGATTTGAGTCCAAGCTAATCTTCCTGCTAATGGTCACCATGGAAAGCAGCAGGTAATGGATCAAGTATTTGAGTCCCTGTTACCCATGTGGGAGACCTGGATTGAGTTACTGGCATTTACAGGCAGTTGCAGAGTAAGCCAGCAGATGGAAAATATTTGTTTCCATCTGTATCTGTCTGTCATTCTGTCTCTTTCCCCTTGCCTTTCATATATAATAAATTTTTTTTAAATTTCAAAATATATTCATTTTTAATTTCTTGAACAAAAGCAACAAAGTAATGTAAATTTTTGAAAAAGCAAGCATCATTCATTTCTATGTTGTGGTTCTAATTCTTTAAACAACAGTATCTTGATACACAGGAAATGAACTGGTGGTAAACTGCTCTGATTTTTCAACAGCAGATATTTAGGCACTGGCATAATTGCAAGCACTCAGGACGTGCAGGCCACTAGGTTCTGCACTTTGTATACATCGCATTGTCTTTATGCTTGCAAGCGTCCTAGGAGGTGGATTCTTATGCCTGCTGTGTATCTGAGGAAACCAGAGCTCAGGATGGGTCAGTAACTTAGCCACAGCAACAAGGCTATGAAACCCAGGAACCAGGACCCAATCTAAGGCCAGACTGTCCCAAAATTTGTGTTCATCACATCTACGTCAGCCCACAATTTTTATTTTCTGTTTCAGACATTTTTCTTTGTAAAAAATAGCTAATGAAAATGTTATATTAAAATTCATGTTCACAAAGTGACAACAATTCCAAAAACTGCTTTCTACAAAGACATAGGACCATGAACTTGATTTTTGGGATCTCAAAGTAGTATACTTGTTAAAAAACGTGAACATGCTTTTTAAAAATACAATTCCAATCTTGGAAGACTTTTGTAAGCCTTGGCAATGCTAAAGAATTTACTTAGGAAACACTAAACACTTACCTTTTGACACACACTGTACTAGGTGATGGCACAAAAGCCAGAAGAGTAGTCTAAATGGGTTTCTTTGGAAGTTACAAAAGTGTCTTCAAGGGATTAGGGGTCATGGGAAGAGAGATGGAAGATAGCAGTATCTTTCAATTTAATGTTGAGAATCTACTTATAGCAAAGGTTTTTTTTTTTTAAGTTTTCCATAAAAAATTATGTTTCAGTTTCTAGGACAGCCCTCCGCAAATGTCATTTAATGTTAAACCTCTACAATGCATTTGTACTTAAATTCTACAGTAATTGATGGACTAAAATGCTTTTAACATCATAGAGCATTCTTCTTATCCAACAGATACACCGTGGTCCCTGCATTTGCTCTTCTGTGTGATGTGATATCTTCATTGTCAAGAAAGAAGAGTCAGATCTATCAGAAGCAGGATTCTCAGCTGAAGTGTAGCTCAATGGATTCCCATCCCTTTTATTTCCATACCTCACCATCCATGCCTGCCTTCCATTTTTCCAGGAAAAACCCATGAATTTCAGTAAATCGACATCTACCACAAAGGCATTATTTCTCAGCTGTACATCAAATTGATAAACAGAATGTTTATTAATTTAGGTTTGCATCATTCACTTTTACTTGATTTTTATTATAAGGTCAAATGTGTAAAGATAGGTATATATTTCTCCTTTTCTTCAAAGCTTCTGGCCCCAGTAGTAAGAAATGTTAAGGAAGATTATTTATTTATTTAACAAAAGTTTAAGAACTGCACATGAGTGATCATGGCCTAAGACCTTTTACACTATAAATTTAAGCAAACTAGGACCCTACAGGAAGATCCCCAAACCAGACCTCCTTTTGAGAAAGAAAAGCTATTTGCCTTAAACAAGGACTCCAAGTAACTCTGCTTATTAATTCTCTTCCAAGGGGAATAGACACCAAGAATATCTGAGGAGCCAGAGCAATAAAAGGGTGTAAACTGGCACAAGAGGACACCATATACCGTTCATTCTGTGAATTGGGTACTTTTATCCAGCTTTCAAACTATAATTTCAGGAGGGTGCAGGAGAGAGAGCCCATGGCTCCAGAATCAGGTGTCAGTGCAGGGGATCCATCTTATTTAATAAATAATACCACTCTAGCTGTTCGAAATAACACACTTGCTTTCTTATCTGCAAAAGCTATAAATAAAGCACTCTTCCATGGCTGCCCTAAATTTTAAATTGCAAAAATAGTGAATAAATCTATTCTCCCATGAGTGTGCTAATTACTGTTTTAGTTCACGCTAACAGAAGAAACAGCTTAATAACACTAACTTAACTAGAGGAGGTCAAACTTCTCATTCATTGGAGTTAATGAGTAAAAACCACCTTTTCATTAGGTATGGGGCTATAACTGCTAAGATCACTCTAAAAGACTTTGCAAATACAATGTAACTAAATCGCTTTCCAGCTCTCAAAGTCTTTTGATACACACAGTGTGTAGCAGACATGAAGTGAGCAGACAAACGTTATGTGGCATTGCCGGAGTAGAAATTATTTCTCACTTCTCCAGTCAAATGGCTTTCAGAAGGGTTCATCACCCGGAAAGCCAGCATCTGAGAGACGCCGGAAATGCAGATGGCACTGGGCCTCAGGAATGCTTATCCCAGATGGGTACCCAAACTAAGACCTCTCCTCATTATTTGTCACAGCCATCCCACGAGGGAAGCAATCTCGCTGTGAAACAACTACGAAGCTGGCAAAGTTCTGAATCAAACGTCCTCGGGACTCCTTTAAGGCAGGCACCGTTCACCAAAGGGTCAGCGGTTAAAGGGAAACTCCGCCAGAGCCAGGGCCAGGCTCCTCGGGGCGACGGGGGCTCCCCCAGGTGAGCCAGGTCCGGGCTCCGGACAGAGGCGGAGGCGCAGGGCGGGTCCCCGCGCGGCGGCCGGCGGGCGGACATCTCGGCGGCCAGGGGAGCCCCGCGCTGTCTCCGGGGTCGGGGACTCCCCGGCTGGCGCGGGTTGCCCAGGGCGCGCGGGGGTCCACAGCCTCCCGCCCGCGAGGCGCATCCCGCAGAGCCCAGCAGCCGCGGCCCCTCCGCCATCCTCCCGTCCTCCGACATCTTTCGCCGAGACTGGGAGGCAGGGAGAAGAAGGGAAGGCGGCCGAGCGTCTGCGCCCAGCTCTGCCGCAGCGCGAAGAACGAGCGAAAGGCAGGCGCAGGGCGGCTGGAGAGGAGGCGGCGGGGAAACCGCGATTTCGCCGATCGCCCCGAAAAGGCCCTCGGCACCCTAGGCTCGGGGGACTCCTGGACACCCGCGGGGCGGCGGCTGCGGTGGGCGTTCCTCGTCCTCGCCCCTCGGAGCCTGCGGCTGCAACCCACCCGCGCGGCTCACAGCGAAACTCCCCTCCGGTCCCTGCGGCGCGGGGAGCGAACAAAAGGACCCGCGCCCCCTACACACACCCCCGCAGGTCTCCCTGCGGCTGCAGGCGTCCGTCCCGGCAACCCCGCCGCCCGCACCTTTTCCCCACCTGCGCGGTGCATCCTCCCGAAGGTAAAGTCGGGATGAGCGAGGAGACGCCGCCCCTCGAGGCGGCCGCTCCACCAGACCCTGCCGATTCTCCACCAACCAACCAGCCAACCACAAGCCCGCTGCACCTCGCGCCCCCGCCGGAGCTGCGCCGCCCCCGGCGCCCCGCGTCGGCGCCCAGAGAGCGCTCCGCTCTCCGCGGAGAGCCGGGACCCGAGCACGATCCCCGGGGCGCGCAGGAACACTCGCCCGGCCCTTCCGCAGCAGCTGCAGGGGCGAAGAAGGGATGGAGCCCCGGCGGCGACGCGGGAGCCAACTTCCCGACCCGTGCCGAGACCCCCGCGCCCCGCAGCCTCCCCCGCGCGCACTCTCCACCCCCTCTTTCCGCCCCCACCACCACCACCTGGGGGAAAAAAAAAAACCATCCATCGGTGCAAAAAAAAAAAAAAAAAAAAAAAAAAGCAGACATTTTTGATGTCATTGACTTTGCTCCAGAGCCAACACCTCACCTACCCCGTCGTCGCCTGGAGCTGCGGCCAACGCCACCCGTTGGGTCCCGGGGGGCCCCGAGGGCTGGGCTTCCTCCCTTGTTTTTAGCCGGAGCCGGTTGGGGTTGCCCTTCCCGCCCCAACTTTTCAGCCCCCCCAGCGGGGGGGGGGGAGAGCCCAAACCCCCGCCAGGGCCCGAAGGGAAAGGGTTGGGGGGAAGCCCCGGGTTGGCCGGGCCAGGGGAGCCGGGAGCCGCGCGCATGCGCCCCGCGGGCGGGCGCAGCCCCTCGCCCCGCGCGGCCGGAGGTGCCGCTTGTTCCCCGGGCGCGAGGCCGTGTGAGTCACGGCCCCGCCCCCTCCCCGCGCTCTCTCCCCGCCCCGCGTGGGCGACGCCCGCGCGGACCTTCCTGGAGGACAGCGGCCGTGGCGCCCGGGCTCCTCTTTCAAGTTCCTGTTCCCCGCAGCCCCGCGTTCCGGGCGCCCGAGGCGGAGGCTCGGAGCTCCTGCGGGGCGCGGGCTGGCGGCGGAAGCTGGCGCTGCGTGGGGCCTCGGGAGGGTAAAGTTGGGCAAGTTTGCGTCCCGGGGACTTGACTTTGCGGAAAGCCCTCGGCGGGGTGACAGCCTCGCGCGGCAGCAGGACCCGGTTCCCTGGGGATCCTGGCAGGTGCTCCCCAGCGGGGTGGTGGGCTCGGGCGTCCGTCCGCCCCCGGGGCCGGGGTGTTGAGCCAGACACGCAGATGACGCGGCGGCTTGGTGGCTGTCAGGTGTGTTAATTGTTCTCTGGTGCAGAGCCCGGCTGCTAGAGGAGCTTCTGATACTTAAGCCTGGGGAGCGCTGGCTCGGGTCTCCCCGCATGTGTGTGAGGACGAAGCGGGGAAGCTGTGTTTCTCTTTCGTTACCACGTCTGTGCGAGGAGGAGTGAGTTCCTGCAGCAATGATTAGGCTTTTTTCTTACACCTAATTACAATAGATTACTTGTCAATCTGCATAATTCCCCACTGCTTGTGTGCGTGCACCTGCAGACAGTCCCGCCTACTGCTGAGCACCTTGGTCCCCCCGCCCCACCAACGCCGGGTAACCTGACGTTAGTTATGGCTCAAAGTGGTCTCCAAGGCCTCCTTTGTTGAGCTACATGTGTAAGGTCTTGGGCACTGGCTTCTTCAGTCTGTTCCCTGGACTGGTGCTGATCTGCAAGCTGCCCCTTATTGGCTGTGCCATTGGAAGTGAGTACAGGGCTTGAGACTAAGATTTTGAAACTTTTATAGTAATTTGACTTTGCCGTGGCGTCCAACTGTGTTGGCCAATTTCACTTTGAGTGTTTTATTTTTAAAGTAATTCATTTTTTTTTGTTGGCTTTTACCGAAGTATTTGTCTTACCCTATTTCAGCTGCTTTAACAGAAACAGCAGACACTTATCACAGTAGGGGAGATCCGGAAGTCAAAATCCCATGTGGATATTCTGGTTTGGTGGGTAAAAAGCGACCACCTTGGTCATCTGCATTCCAAATAAGTACCCGTTCAAAACCTGACCGCCAGCTTCCAATCTAGCTCCCTGCTAATGGCCCAGGAAAAGCAGCAGGTGATCCAAGAATTTTGGGCCTCCGCCACCAACGTGCGAGATCCATATGAAGCTTCTGGCTCCTGGCTTCTGTCTGGCTCAACCCTGGCCATATGGCCACATGGGGAGTGAACCAGTAGATGGATTTGCTCTCTCTCTCTCTGTCCTTTTCTCTCTCTAACTCTGCCTTCCAAATAAATAAATAAATAAATAAATATACTTTTACATGTTTAAGTAAATAAAAATTTTTTCATGTAGGCAGGTTGGATGTTTGAAGAGGGCCCAGTCCCAGCTCATGGGTTGCTATCATTTGGCTCTGTCTTACCATGGTAAAGGGGAACTCAATGGGATCTTTTATGTGCGCACTAACTCCAAGAGGGATCCACACTCATGACTCAATCATCTTCTGAAGGTCCCACCTCTTTTTTTAAGATTTATTTGTTTGTTTTAAAGTCAGAGTTGCACAGAAAGAGGAGAGGCAGAGAGAGAAAGAGGTCTTCCTTCCGTTGGTTCACTGCCCTATTGGCCACAACAGCCGCAGCTGCACTGATCTGAAGCCAGGAGCCAGGAGCTTCTTCCACGTCTCCCATGTGGGGGCAGGGGCCCAAGGACTTGGGCCATCTTCTGCTTTCCCAGCCCACAGCAGAGAGCTGGATTGGAAGTGGAGCAGCTGGGTCTCAAACCAGCGACCATATGGGATGTGGGCACTATAGGTAGCAGCAGTTTTACCCGCTATGCCACAGCGCCGGCCCCAGGTCCCACCTCTTAATACCATTGCTTTGGGGAGTTAGGATTTCAGTAGTTTTTAAAAAGATTGATTTTATTTTATTTGAAAGTGATATACATGCATATATATATATAGAGAGAGAGAGAGAGGAAGAAAGAAAGAGGAAGAAAGAGAAAAGAAAGAAAGAGAGCTTCCATCCTCTGATTCACTCCCCAAATGACCGCAGTGGCTGTAACCAGGAGCCAGGAGCTTCATCCAGATCTCCCACATGGGTATAGGGGCCCAAGTACTTGGGCCATCATCCGCTGCTTTTGAAGGAGCATTAGCAAGGAGATAGATTGAAAATGGAGAAGCCGGGATTTGAACTGGATGCTGGCACCGCATATCTGCCACACCACACTGCTGGCCCCAGATTTCAGTTTTTGAATTTGGGAGTGGGTGTGTTATCCCACTGCAGTATTGGTCCATGATGGATAAAAAAATAAATCACTCAACCCAAAATAGTTTGAGCAGCACTGAATCCTATAACTTGTAGATTTGTATCTTCAATCATAATCTCTGACTTTTTTTATCTTTTTTAACTCTGAGCTTTTTAATGATCTCAACTATCTTTACATCTTTGCTTGAAAAGTAGTTACAATAGCTAATATTTATTGAATAAGTACTACATGCTTGGGGCAGATCTAAATTCTTTTCACATACAGTACCACTATTCTGTCTTCACAGTCATGCTTCAAGGTAGATACTATAATTATCATGTTTAACAGGCATCTAGGAAGAACTCTGGATATCCTCTCCCTGAAAACCTGTTTTTATTCAAATTGTTCTACCCAGTTACTCAATCCAAAAAAGTCAGTCTTGTTTTGTCTCTTACTTCCATCCTTAGATCTCATTAATTTGCAAGTTATGATTTCTTCACCTACAAAATATATCCCCAAATCATTAACTTTACTTCTTTCCATTGCTATAACCTTAGTGCAAGCTACTACCATCTCTCACCTCTTTTGTCATCTTGTTTGTGTCTTCTATTTCAACCCCAAAACATCGTACTCCCCAAATGACAGCTGAGCAATCTATAAACAGAATGTATGTTTTTGCCTAAAACTCTCCAATTGGTTTTGATTGCATATTGTATGCAGCCCATAATCTTTACTGCAGCTCTCAAGGTTCTTCACAATATTGTCTCAGCCTAGTTTTTTTTGTTTTGTTTGTTTGTTTTGTTTTGTTTTGTTTTTGGATATTCCATTTTGTAATTTATTTTTTATTTAGTAAATATAAATTTTCAAAGTACAGTTAATGGATTACAATGGCTCCCCCCCATAATTTCCCTCCCACTCGCACCCCTCCCCTCTCCCGCTCCCTCTCCCATTCCATTCACATCAAGATTCATTTTCAATTATATTTATATACAGAAGATCAATTCAGTATGTATTAAGTAAAGATTTCATCAGTTTGCACCCACGCAGAAACACAAAGTGTAAAATACTGTTTCAGTACTAGTTATAGCATTACTTCACATTGGACAACACACTAAGGACAGATCCCACATAAGAAGTAAGTACACAGTGACTCCTGTTGTTGACTTAACAATTGACACTCTTGTTTATGGCATCAGTAATCTCCCTAGGCTCGAGTCATGAGTTGCCAAGGCTATGGAAACCTTTTGAGTTCGCTGACTTCGATCTTATTCCAACAGGGTCATAGTCAAAGTGGAAGTTCTCTCCTCCCTTCAGAGAAAGGTACCTCCTTCTTTGATGACCCGTTCTTTCCACTGGGATCTCACTTACAGAGATCTTCCATTTAGGTCTTCTTCTTCTTTTTTTTTTTTTCCAGGGTGTCTTGGATTTCCATGCCTAAAATACTCTCATGGGCTCTTCAGCCATATCCGCATGCCTTGAGGGCTGATTCTGAGGCCAGAGTGCTATTTAGGACATCTGCCATTCTATGAGTCTACTGTGTATCCCGCTTCCCATGATGGATCGTTCTCTCCCTTTTTTATTCTATCAGCTAGTATTAGCAGACACTAGACTTGTTTGTGTGATCCCTTTGACTCTTAGACCTATCAGTGTGATCAGTTGTGAACTGAAATTGATCACTTGGACTAGTGAGATGGCATTGGTACATGCCACCTTGATGGGATTGTATTGGGATCCCCTGTCAGCCTAGTTTTCTTATAGGATGTTCCCTTAGACTACAATTACTTGTGTACTAGCCACACAAGTCTATTTCTTTAACTTTCATGAATAAATTCAGTATGTGAGGAGTCTTGGGAAGGTTCTTTAAAAAGTGCATATTATGATAGAAACTATGCATGGGTCTCAGGTTACTTTCATACCCAAATAAACATATATTTGGACTCAATTGTCCATGAACTTTTTGAAGTGCCCTCTGGTACCTGGTATTCCTGTTATCCAGAATTGTATCTCTAGATCTTTGCATGGTGGACTTCTCAATAGCATGCACATGTCTGCTCAGACATCACCTCCTCGAAAAGCCCTGATCTGACCACCCAGTCTAATCTGTTCTGCTGGATCCCCCTGTTTTATTTTCTA